CGGGTGCTGGAGTTGTTGCTGAGGAGGACACCGGTTTCCTGGAAGGTCCTTGCAGAAAGGTCACCTGGTGGAGTTGGGATTATGACTCCCATTGGGTGCCCTCCCATTGGGTGCCCTGCAGAGGCTTCTGACCTGACTCCCCAGGCCTGAGTCAGGGGCGCGGGCCTCGGAGACTTCCCAGGGCCCTAGGGACACCGAAGCTGAGCAAGAGTCCCAGGGAGCAGCCTTCTCAAACTCTCTAGCTCAGACCTGAGCATCCTTTCCCACAAAACTGTCCCCACAGCCGTGCAGGATGAACCCTAAGGGGGTCTCCTCCCCACCTTCCTACACCCCTCCCCAGGCTGCACCTCAGTGTGCTTCTCACCTCTTCCACTTGGCAAGAGGAAGCACTAGCAGGGGCTGTGAACAGGTGACAGGTGTGGCTGGTAGCTTGGGGAGCGTCTCTGGGGCTCCCAGTCTCTTGCATCTTCCCCACATGCCTCCAAGAGGGTGGGCGGAGGACTGTGTCCAAGATCATCACAGCCAGGTCTGGGCCCTACAGCCTCCAGTCCCCTTGGGGTCCAAAGGCTCCACAGATACCCTGGACTGGAGGCAGGAACGTTGGCACCTCCCACCCCTGCACCCTCCCCTGCAGGCCTCAGCTGGAGTGGGGGGGGGGAGGCTACAGAGGAAGAGGAATTGAAAACTTGAGTGGGTTTAAATGAGACATGGCTTATTGTCAAAGATGGACAAGGGTAGGAGGAGGGAGGGTGGCTGGTTCCTGCCCCCCTGTATCCTGGCTTGTCCTGTGCACTTTGAACCTCCTGGTCCCCTCTCACAGTGGTCCCCATAAGCCCCACATGTCACTTGCTTTGGGGAGAATTGATCTCATGCCAGAAAGAGGGAGGGAGGGAGGGAGTCAGTGAGGTAGGTGAGTCCAGAGACAAGGAGAAACCAGAGGTCAGCCTGGTGAGCTGGGGGATGGAGGTGCAGAGAGCCCTGCTAACATTGGCCTTGACCTTGGGGACTTTAAGGGAGTCTGGGCTGTGGATTGGACTCATTAAGGTGGAGCCAGGAAATGGTTGGGGTGAGCTTGTCGGCTGGCTCTCCCAGGGCACAGCAGGCTGTCTTGGGAGGGGAGATAGTTGCTGCTGAACCCCTAGCTATGGTCTCTCCTCCCCCCAAATGAGAACAAACAGATTTTCAAATGCATAATGAAAGTTTAATTCCTTTTTTCTTTTTTAAAATCAGGCAGTGTTGGGAAAGGGGGTTGTAGCAGTGATGCAGAAAGCTGGGTGAGGAAGAGGAGAATGGCATGGAGGAAGGGAAGTGGAAGGGAGAGGGTGAGAACTCAGCCAGTGACATCTCTGCATGAGCAAACAGCTGGGAGTCAGGTACTCAGACCCACCCTCATTCCCACCCAGCCCCGTTGGAGTTGTGTGGACACAAGTACACAAGCACCAGCCTCCAAACAATGTGCAAAGGACTGGAAGTCATCGCAGGTGCCCTGCAGCCTGCAGAGAGCCACAGGTGCACCATGATGGACACACGTGCAGGCTGGCACAGGCTCACACAGCAACCCAGTCACACAGCCCAGACCTCTGAGGACCTGCTCAAGGGCAGGAGCATGTGCACAGACACACCCCTCTGCCCTCCCACCCGGGCACCAGGCACAGGCCCTTCCCTGCCCCAGGTGGCAGTCTGGGCCGAAGCCTAGAGGCGGGTGGCATTGTGATGAGCAGGCAGGGCAAGGCGGGGAGAGGGTGTGGCAGGGGGCAGCTCCTCCAGGAAGACCCTGGGGGGCAGTGGGGGTGAGCGGGGCTCGGGCCTGGCACAGCACAGGGTGGCGCGGGTGATGAGGCGATCCAGGGGCTGTAGGGAGTGCATCCACCGGGGGAGGAAGTCCCATGTCTGCAGCCACTTGGGCAGGTGCCTGGGGCTGCGACTCTGCAGGACACTAACGAGCACCACGAAGGCCAGCAGGGCCGCGAAGGGTGCACCCACACCCACCATGGCCCACCCGCCTGCCATGGAGATGCCAAATACCAGCGAGGGCATCAAGACAAAGCACAGCAGGAGGTAGAGGACGGCAAACCAGCGGTACTTGGCGGTGCATTTGCCTAGGGCCTTGGCCATGCGGATGGGCAGGCGGGTGCAGGGCACTGGGTACCACAGCAGGATGCCTGAGATGTTGAAGAAGAAGTGGCAGAGGGCGATCTGCAGAGAAGAGGGCAAAGGAGCTGAGGTGGGCACAGGCCCACTCCCAAGCCAGGACCATGGGAACAGATACAGGGGCCCGGCTTGGTCTGGGCAGCAGGAAAGTCACACTAGGGTTGACGTGCCCCCAGTAAAACACTGAAACACTTCTGGGCCAGTTGGCAAATAATCCTGCCCTGAACTCCCCACATCTCCCCCTCAAACCCCGCTTCTAGGAATTCCCCAGCAGATGCTGCCCAAATCCAGGAGCTAAATGATTTCTCCTAGTTTCTGCCTCAGCAGTTCTGGCCTCCTGATGGGTCCCCACCCTGACCTGAGCCCCTGCTTGTCGTTACTACTTCTCCTAGAACAGCCACTGCTCTGCCGAGTCCCCCCTACTCATCCTTGATCCCCCAGACTGGCCAGGCCCCCTCTCACAGCAGCCCTCCCTCAGAGTGCACACCCCACCCCTGTTCATTGGTGTGACTGAGTCACATCTTCCTGGTAGACAGCAAGGTCCTGAGGGCGGCACCAGCTCTATTTTGCCCACATGGTTGCCGCAGAGGCTGGCAGAGCCGCTGGCCTAGTTAGCAGTCAGCTTGTTACTCAGCGTCCCCCCATGGGTCAGCGCCACACCCCAGGCCCAGCACGGTCCTCTCTCTGGCAGGGCTGCTCTCCCAGGCACACCTGGAAGGCACTGGACAGCTTCTCCCGGGGGCTGGCCAGGGCAGCCAGGATGGCTGTGGTGGTGGTGCCGATGTTGGAGCCCAGCGTGAGGGGGTAGGCGCGCTCAATGCTGATCACACCCAGGCCTGGGGGGAAGAGGAGAAGATGTGGTCTCCCAGCTCCCCCTCAGCCCTTTCCCTGCCACCCCGCCCCCCACCCCCCACCCCCGGCATAAGCACTCACCGATGAGTGGGGTGATGGCCGAGGTGAATACAGAACTGCTCTGGACCACGAATGTCATGGCGGCACCCACCACCATGGCAAAGTAGCCGGTGACCCAGGTGAAGGGGGTGGGGAAGTCTGTGGGGGAAACCATCCCCGCAGGGTCAGGGTGGGGCTGGGACCGCAGGGGGAGCCCTCCTTGAGGAGGAGGTCTTGGGTGCGTTTCCAAGTGGGACCTTTGCCGGTCCCCTGCTCAGCTGGCAGGGCCTCTGCCGGCCCTTCGATCTGGGACTGGAGGCTCATCTCAGCCTGGCTCTATCACGCCTTCAGGTCCCTCGGCCTGGCTCTCCTTCCCACTCGGACATGTCCACCTTCAGGCTCCGGGTGGACATCACTGCCCCTGGAAAGCCCTCCCGACCCTCAGGCAGGCTGTGTCCCACCCCCCTCCCTCCTCCAAGCTCCCTTCCAGCACTTCCCATGCGGCCTCTGCCTGTGCCAGAATGAAGCTGACAATAAAAACTGGACGGTGTCACTCTCTGTCCTCAACCCCAACTGCCCCGTTATCCTTAACAAAGTCCAGGCTTTGAGCGCAGCCGGTGGCCCTGTGATCCGCTCCCCCTCACCTCTCTGACCTCTCCCTGCCTCTCTCCAGGATGCCCGCTGGCTACCTTTCTGTGCGGCAAACCTGCCCAGCTGGTCCCGGCCTCCAAGCCTTTGCACTGCTGTTCCCTCCACCCGTATCTTGACTCCTTCTCATTTAGGTCTTTGCTCAAATGTCACATCTGCACAGAGGCCGCTGACCAAAGCAGCCTCTTCTATACTCTATTGTGTTGTCAGTTTTGCCTTCTCCGTGGCTTATTCTCCCCTCCCCCATAATGTGGTTTTCATTGCCATCCCCCTAGAGGGGGACTCTAGGCTGTGTGCCTCACCTCTTACTCCCAACACTATACCGTGCTTGGCCCATGGTAAAGGCTTGATGATTATTTGTCGATTCAATCAAGCGGAAGCCACTTTTTAGCGTTACCTGCAGGAATGGAACCATGGCCAGAGGCAGCCACAGATCCCCAGCTGTCTGCATCTCAGGGCCTCAGAAACCACCCAGGTAAGTCTCTTCTTTGTTCACATGGGGAAACTGAGGCTCAGATACGGTAGGGCTTTACCCAGATCGCACAGCAAGGCAGTGTCAGGAGTTAGTGGGATCTGGAAGGGCCCGTTCTGGGGCCTGCTCGCCCACCGCCTGGTGCTCACCAGTGTTGATAATGCTCTGAATGACCTTGGCCACCTGGCCCTTGAGCAGAGAGTTGAGCGTCTTGACAAGGAGGATGAGGCAAGTACACAGCAGCACCAAGGAGCCAGCCAGCAGGATGAGCCCTACGGCCAGGTCGGGCAGCCCTGTGTTCACGAAGATGTGGTGACCTGTTGGGAGGGGTGTCAAGCTGCTGAGGACTGACCCCCCATCCAGCTCCCAGCCCCCCACCTTTGCCCCCCCTTGGACTTGGAGCCCAAGGCCCCACCTCAGTCTCCTTAAACCTCAGGAGCTGGGCTGGTTGGCAGCCATCCTTCCTGGGGGACAGCCCTACCTCTGCCAGGCCCTGCCCCTGCCAGCCGGACCCCTCCCTGCTGCAGGCACTCACATTTCTCCATGGTGGCATTTCCGAGGGTCTGGCTGCTGTTGGCCTCTGCCCTGGGCATGGGGGTGGGAGCCTAGATTGAGAGGAGGGTGACTTAGGGAATTTAGGAAAATGCAGCCTGGAGGTGGGGGGAAGATGGAGGTTAGGGAGCGATGGGGCATGGGAGAACGGCAATGGGTCTCCTGGCTACGTGGTCTCGGGGGGTTTACCTGCCCTTTCTGAGCCTGTCTCCTCTGCTGGAGAGATGGGGGTGAAAATATCTGCCACACAAGAATCTGGCCACGGTCAGCCCTCTGCAATTCTGCCCCATTACCCACTGAACTGGCTCTCTCTGGGCGCACAGGGCCTCCTGATCCGGTGGCTTCCTGTCCTTGTTTCTCCCACCTCTTCTTGGCACGATGCTGCTGTCCCTGGTTCTCTTCGGAAAACTCTCTTTCCCGTGTTTTATTCCCTCCTGGGCTCCCTCTCCCCCAGCATCCTTGCCTCAGCCTCTCATCTGAGGCACCCAACCCAAGCTCTCTTTTCCTCTTGCTCAATTCCTTATCTGGAGAAGGTTGCGGGGCAGGGGACCACTGGGGGCACAGTCCAGGCCCCACACTGCTTTCCTCCCCCCGTTACTATCAGTGAAGTGATGGGGGTTCCTGGGGAGGCACCTCAGTTCAGAGGACCCAGGCCAGGCAAGTAGCCTCAGTGAGGGGCTCAGGCTGGTGCTGGTGGAGGCCATGTGCTGGGCCTATCGGGGTAGTAGCTACTCAGCTCCAGGCCACTGTCACCACCCAGGGACACAGCCTAGCATGGCCGAAGGGTCTGATTCTACAAGAGAGACCACAGCTCTATAATTTTAAATTAAGCCTCCCTATTTGTAAATGCTGACAACCACTTTAAGACATGCTGTACAATTCTGTGAAGGCCGGTCTGGTCTAGGGAGCACTAATTTGTAGCCTCGTTGGGTTAAGGAGTTATTATTATTATTTTTTAATGCAACTTGGTGCCCCTTCCCCTTCCCCCAGACCGAGTGTGAAAGGAGAAAGTGGGCTGGGCTGGCTGGAAACCTACCACCTCACAGAGGGGAATGATTTACTCCCAGGGCCCCGCGTGGAATGCAAGAGCCACAACTTCTCTTCTCCCCACAAACACATTCTGGCCTTCGGAGCTGATATGGGTGCTGATTCCATTCCCCCCTGAAACTCTGCATCCCACAGCCTCTGACCTCCCCTGGTGCTGAGGGTAGGGGCACAGACCGGTCCTGGCACTTTGATGTTACCGCTCCATTAGGCTTCAGTCTAAACTGTGTCATTTAAAAAATGTATGATAAAGGTAAGACCTATTCGTGACACCTGGCTTTAAGTCGGGGTTTATGTTAGTGGTATGTGCTCCCTTGTGTGGGGAAACATGCTTAGCTGTGTGGCCAGCTAGCCACACCAGAGCCATGGGGTACCCTCAAGCCCAGCCCCAAATGGAGGCCAAGGAACCAGGAGGAAATAGTCTCTGATGGGCTCATTTAAAAAAGCCAAGCAAGTGGTAGGAACTGCTATGCAGGTGAAAGAGAGAGCCAGGTGTGAGGGAGAGAGCCAGGTGAGAGAGAGAGAGCCAGGTGTGAGAGAGAGCCAGGTGTGAGGGAGAGAGCCAGGTGTGATAGAGGGCCAGGTGTGAGAGAGAGCCAGGTGTGAGGGAGAGAGCCAGGTGTGAGAGAGAGCCAGGTGTGAGGGAGAGCCAGGTGTTTGCTGTTAGGCAGATCTGAGTTCAAATCCTGCTGCTTATACTAGCTACCTCAGACATATCATACCACCTCCCTGAGTGTGTTCTCTCTGAAGCAGGACAATAAAAGAGCTGTTTAAAAGGTGACAAGAGAAATTTGTGTGCAAAGTTCACTTAAGGACTTACTTAGCTCATGACAGTGCCTTCAAGTAAGGGCAAATCCCTTGCCTCCCTGGACCCATCGGGGAAGGGTAAGTGTGTGTGTGTGTGTGTGTGTGTGTGTGTGTGTGTGTGATTGCTTCCTAGGTCAGGATCAATGGTTCCTGCGAATCTGCCTGAGGATCGTGGCCTTGTGGAGAGGACTTCGTGCATCTTCCTTCCTGGGGAATCCCAGCCTGGAGCCCTGGGAAACAGATGACTGCTGAGATGAGTGGGGGAGGGGCCTATGGGGTCCTGGGAGGCTGGAGGAAGAGAAGAACTTCTCTGGGGTCCCAGATGGGGCTTGCAGTGTTGGGTTAGGACAAGGGTGAGGGCCAAGATTTCGGGTTCCTGCCTAGGATTGTGTGGCCCTGGCTGAGCTCACAGGGGGCGTCCAGAGACTGTAAAGGGAAGGAGGGAGGAGGCGGAAGCCTAGACAAAGAGCTAGCAAGCCCAGGGTCTGGGCATACCCCCAGCATGTGGCCATCCCTCCTGGCCTCGAGGCGTGGTGGAGTGGGAGGGGGACGCGGTGGGGGTGGTGAACTCTGTGGGAAGAGCAGAACGGATGAGCTCAGCCAGCCCTGGGCTCAAACCCCAGCTGAGCCACTCCAAGCTGTGCGACACTGGGCCAAACACATAACCTCTCAGGGCCTCCATTTCCCCTCTGCATCATGAGGTCCATTATGCTGCCCACCTCTCCCAGGAGCTAGTTGTGAGGAATCTTGGAAGAGAGAGGTGGGATTTAAATGCCTGAAGAGCCATCCTAAATGCAGGAGGCACCCCTGGAAAATGAAGGAGACGATGAAGCTCACAAAGGAATGCTGGGATCCAAGACTCCGTTCCCTTCCGAGGAAGGGGAGCTGAGGGTCTTTGTTTCTGAACGCGGAGGGGGATCGCCGTGCCAGCATCGCCATCTGGTGGCGAAGAGGAGAATTCCTTAGAGCAGCACTTCACTCCTGGAGGGTTATCTGGGTGGCAGTGGTCGCCTGGTGCCTTTCGTTATGATGGGCAGAGTGGGGAATGGGCACTAATGGTGGAACACCAGGTTGGCATCTGGAAGAGGCTATAAGATGAAAATTCAGGGACACAGGCTCCAAACTCCACCAGGATTTTAGTCCTGCCTCAATCACATGGACTTGGACAAACCCCTCTGAGCCTCAGTTTCCTCATCTGTAGAATAGGGATGTAATAATCCCTGCTTCTCAGGTTGCAAGTCCTCAAAATACACTTGTTGGACCCAAGCAGGTCTGGCTGACAATCCACAATGTGACCACACAAGAAGGTAACTCCCAGGACAGTGTCAGGCCCCCAGAGTGCCCAGAGGTGTTGAAACTGCCTGCTGTTCCCCCATCCCCCACCCCCACTTCTGGACAAGCTCAGACTCTCCATTCTCTCCTTGGTGACACGGTTCCTGGAGACTGGTTTGGGCGAGTCGGGTCCAGCTTGGTGAAAGCTGGAGGCAACTGGGACAGGTTGGAAGGGAGCACAGGGAGACTCCGTGGCCAAAGCAAAGCTCGAGTCTTCGGTGCAGGAGGAGCTTCGAACACACATCTCCTCCCGAGAGCGTAAGGGGGAGAGTAAGAACAGGGAGCTCGAGTCCCACCCGCCAGTTACTCTCCAAGCCAAGGAAACTGCTCTTAAAGGGTCTCCTGGCAGAGCTGGGCTGAGAAACCAGTGCTCAGGCAGGTGGCCGCTGGAGCAGTGACCACGGCCCAGCCAAGGGACCTTGCACAGGTTGCTTTAGGCCCATGAACCTCAGGTTCCTCTTGTGGAAAGTGGGATGCTCCTGTCCACCTCCCCGCCCTGCGAGAGGATGTCATGGGGAGGGCTCCGTTCAGTGGGACGTGCTGCAAGGGCCTGCTGGATGCAGGGTTTCAGAGCAGCGAGGAGTGCCGGCTTATTTTATTGTAAAGATCAAAGTGTGTGATTCCTCTCCCCCAGGTTTTGCTAGGAAGTAGAGCGGATTGTGATGAGTCGAAGAGCTTGGGGAGGGCCCCCTGTGAGCTGGTGAGAAGGTAGAGGTTGTTAGAGAGGCCACAAAGCAGCATAAAAGCTGCCTGCGTGGGCTTTTTGATGTCAAACTGCCTCTGAGACTCAGCAGGGCTGAGCTGGAGCTGTGTGCCATTCAGACCAGGGAACCTCGCAGGGCAGGTTGAAAGGTTGTTCTCTATTCACACCGGGATAAAGGCTCCGTGACTTCAAGTAGCAAG